TTCAAGCTACAGACCAATCAGCCTTCTTTCAGCGCTGAGCAAATTGTTCGAGAAACTCATTCTCAATCGTTTGCTCAAGTTTGTCGAGGAAAATAACATTCTCCTTCCGGAACAGTTTGGATTCAGAAAAGGGCACTTCACCAATCATCAGCTAGTACGGGTGATGAATAACATCCGAATTAACAAAGCTGTATCCAAATCCACAGCCATGGCCTTGTTAGACGTTGAGAAAGCGTTTGATAATGTCTGGCACAATGGGCTTGTATACAAGCTTTGTAACTTCAATTTTCCATTACATCTGGTTAAAATCACCCGTAACTACCTCCAGCAAAGGTCGTTTAAGGTATCGTTGAATGGTTGTCTTTCCGACACGTTTTCCATCCCAGCAGGAGTCCCGCAAGGCTGTCTGTTTGGCCCCTTGCTTTACAGCATTTACACTTCCGACATTCCTCCCCTCGGAGACGGCTGCGTGTTTTTCCTGTTCGCAGATGATACCGCAATAGCCGTCAAAGGAAGGATGCCTTAACGCCTTTGCTGATTATGCCACCACGTGGAAAATTAAAATCAATGCCTCCAAAACACAAGCGATCATGTTCCTCCATCGGCAATCGCCCAAACTGAAACCGGCTCCATCTTGTACTGTAATCATGAATGGCACAAGGGTTGAGTGGTCTTCCGAAGTTACCTATCTCGGGATGTTGTTCGATGAAAAGCTCCTCTTCCGTTCGCATGTAGAGAAAACAGTAGTCAAGTGTTCTGCCTTGGTTAGATGTCTGTATCCGCTGATTTGCCGCAGATCCCGCCTCTCAAAGGTGAACAAACTGGCTGTCTACAAACAAATCATAGCACCTGCAATCCTCTACGCAGCTCCGGTGTGGGAATCATGTGCACATACTCACAGGAACAAAATTCAGGTCACTCAGAATAGAGTGCTGAGGATGGTTCTTGATCGTCCTTTCGACACTACAATAACAAATTTACACGAAGAGGCAGGCATTGCCAAAATAAATTTCAGAATTAACAAAATTAAGACTAAATTAGCAGAAAAATGTAATTTATCAGAACATGCTTTGATAAGCAATTTGTATATGGTAGGTTAGGTGTATATAGTAGTTGTAGGTTAGTTGTAGTTGTAAATAGTAGTTATAAGTAGTCTCCTTTTTCCAATTCAAACCAAGGTGGTCATACTTTAAAATAGGCCTGATAACGGTTACTGTAAATAATAATTAAATCTCAAATGTACTAAAGTTGAAAAGACGCATCTGTGTCACTTGAAAAATTCATAAATGTAAACCACACAAACACAGGAAATAATGATCATTTAAAGTCAAAAAGTGAACGTGATCAGTCGCAATTCCATTAGCTGTGAGGACAGTCGTCACAATTAATTTGAAAGACCCAGAAAGTGGACGCGGACATCGGAAATGAGAAGCATTACCAATGGCAACGACATCCTTCGAACGTTACATAGCTGAGTTTGACTACAATGATCACCTGCGTAATGCTGCTGCCAGGAAATCCAAGTGAGCACGCTGTCTCTGAAGAAACCCTAGTACACCAGTTTGTTCGCTTCGATCCAAAATGGCAGTTTCATTTGCGACGGAGACCATGAAGGACGCGGACATCGGAGGCTGTCTGAGTAGCTTCACCATCTTTCGGACGTTCCACTGTAGGCGTTCTGTAAGGCTGACTACAACATTGCTCACCTGCAAAATTTCAACCGCTGTGCACTGGTGTAAGCACGCCATCCTGAAATGCAGCATGTAAATCTCTTGGATACCAAATGGTCTTTTTCAGGTCCACTTTATTTTACGCTATAGGATTTCTTTTAAGATCTCCAGATGGTGGGTAAAACAGGTTCACAAATTGAAATATTTTTGAACCATGGAGAGAAATAATTTCAATCGAGGTCACAAACCTATTCTTTCATATGTGCAAGTTTCAGACTCTCCGAATTTTTTATGTTGAACACACCGTGCTCGCACTCTGGCTCTTCCACGATTCAAGTCAAAGTGAACGAGTAGAAGTTCCACAAGCCACCGTGGCCGTCAAATTACCGAAGTAATTCAACGACTTTTCAAACGACAAAACAATGTAACGCTACATGTCTCCCTTATCATGGAATTCCCAATATACTATCATGCTCAAACATATTTTCGAATACTCTTTTATAAGAGGTGACGGTTTGGATTCAAACTCCGGACTTGCCCTTCAATTTTATTTCTGTCCAATGAAACACAAATATCGAGATTACAGCGCTTGCAGAATAAAATATTGCGTTTGATTTTGAGATGTAATAGATTCACTTCCTCAACTTTGATGCGAGACGGCTTACAAAGATTGTCGGTGAAGCAAAGAATTGTATATTTGACTATGGTGTTCATTTTTAAAGTAGTTAACGGTTGCTGCCTCGATCGAATTGAAAGAAGAAGTGACTTTCATAGATATAATAAAATATCATCATAGATATAATGAAATAAGAACACCACATTTCTTGACTTGTGCTTCATAAAATTCATTATATTTTAAAGGAAATAAATGTTTTCAATTCGATGCCTAGACATATCAGACGTTCAGCAACACTTACAGAATTTAAAGACACTGCATTTCACACGTTAAAACTGTATTTTGAACAGTTATCCAGTGATTTTTTTTTATGAATTGATAAATTATGTATCTTGACGGAGTTATCTCTAACGGATTATTTTATATGGATAGCTGTTATAACGACTTTTGCAATAATTATTATAGCACTGCAAAAACTATTTCTGTTTGCCACGATGGTGATAATGGATTTTAAATATTTGATTTAATAGTAAATTAATTTAAAAAAAGTAGTTTACAAAGGTTTGAGCCTCGCGCGCGTATTACGTATATAGAGGACTGAATTTAAAATTTGATAAAAAAAAATGCAATTTTGAAGCTTATTTGGAAGATACCTTGAGTTAGTTGTAAGTTTTCTGGCAAATGTTGGGGGTTCGTGAGCATTCTTGACATTGCTAAAAATTTTGATAGCATCAGATTGCGGGGTTGCTAGTGTTATAGGATGCTTTGTTGATTTGTCATTAACTCTTGAGTGCTTGTAATACTTATGAATATTTTAGGTGGACAAAAAGGCAAACTAAGAGGTGAACGCCTGAGCTTTTTCACATTTATATCGCTGTGAAGCAACTGTAAACTCTAGAGGGAATTTATATCTGTAACTGAAACCAGTTCGATTTTGTTTGCTCACCTGGTTAAAATGTCATATTTAATTATCTTAAAGATAAATCATCCAGCTCAAACCTTTGTAGGGGTAAGAGGTGGGACCATCATCATCATCATCATCATCAAAATATGCCATCAACGTAGAATGGTGCCCTTAATAAGTTCTTCTTTTTCAAAACTCAACTCAATACATCTTCCTTACAAATGACTTCATTTAACCCCTTCAACGTAACTGCTTTATCTTCATTGAAATCAGAAGCTCTCCATGCAACCCGCTTCTTTTCTCCAATTAATTTCATTCCCCATTGAAAAGTATTCAGACGAAAATAAACCCTCGCACGCTTCACTAATCTCTCGCAACAGCTTACGAAATAATTAAGGACGACCTCGCCATTAACCCCCGATTATGATGAGCTGTTTCCACACAAGTTCATCGAGGCAAAGCTAAAGCCACCGAAATAAATGGTTTCCGGGAAAAAGGATCACCCACCACCGTCTTCCCTTGGTACCTTTCCTGGGGAATTGGAGCACGAAAGAGATTTAACTCCTCACCATCATCCGGCTCCAGTAGTCACCAAGCTGCCATTATTTATTCACAACCCCACAAACAGGCAACTTGTTTCGGAAATAAAAGTTTTTCGCTTGTCCCGGTTAAAAACCAATTCCTGACGGCAGCAGCGGAACAACCGAAAGTTTTGTAATACCCAAAGATGAATCATGTAACTTTTTCGCTCTCCAGTCGTATTTTGCTTGGTTGTTATTTTTTTTTTCTGTTTTAACAACACGGGAAAGCTGAAGCTGTCGAGACGAAAGTGATGTGATGGTGGGTAAGCTCGCCCAAATCCGATTACTATTTTTGTGTTTTCGGGAATGGCAATCCGGGCGACCTTCTAATGGAACTATTCCGTGGTTGTTGGTTCGTTTCGCATTCACTCGAAAATAAATTGAATTCGCGAAAAACCCATTTCCCAGATGGAATGCACCACACACGGCTCGCACGGGAACCGTGGGCAAAAAATAATTAAATTCATGCCTTTTACCATGCCATCCATAGGTACATGACGTCTATGTGCTGGGTTTTTTTGTTCTCCTGCCCGGACGCGAAACTACATTTCGTGGAATTTTCAAGTTCCGTTCTGGGACGGTACTAGATCTGCCTTTTTCTCGAAAATTGAAGTTTATGCAAGGTAAGTTTTCCGTGTAAACACAATTTTTAGAATACAATACGTAATTCTTTGGTATTCCTGCACGGTTCATACTTTTCCCCGGAGAAAAATCGCGTGAACCGTACAATAACAAACAGGTTATAACATCGCGTGGAGGGTGTTCCAGGCCACTGCTGGTAACGACGATGGTGACGCCAACGTCATCATCAGCAGCAGCAGGCGGAAATTAAATGTATGCTGTTTTTCTCATTTCCTGCAACATGCACTTTTCCGGCCGTGCAGTCGAGGGATATTGCTTCCTGTTGTTGCACACCGCTAACTACAGCTCAGCGCTTTTGCATACTGGCCACGATGGTATCACATTGGACATTGGAACTTCGTGGAAGTATTAGCTGTTAGACTTTCCGGCGCCGTCAAAAAGAAACATGGCATCGCATGTCCACACCTGAAAGCACTGCATCGATATAAAGGGGTTTCCATGAATGAAAAAAAGCAGCCCGCAGGACTCCGTATCATTTTAAAAATCAAGTTTAGATATATTGGACGGCTGTCATTTTTTTCTAAACCACCAGGCGTCTCCATGAATTCGATTAATTTGATGGGAGCGATGCGCCGGTAGGTACTCACCAATCATCAGTAAGGCCGCCGTCAGATGTGAGGTAGGTGAGCCGGCGAGTCCGGTTGCACCGAGTGCTGCACCCCCGAGAGCGCACGCCACACCGCCCAGGGCCACCACCGCGATGAGCGCCCGCAGTGGTGGCCCGGCGAACCAATGGCCGCAGCAGCCCTTCCGTGAGCGTTCCGATGGTGAGCTGGAAGGAGAAATGGGAAGAAAGAGTGTCATTAGTCGTGGATTCAGTTTAAGTTATTGTATATTGTGGAATTTAATCAAATGCGGAGAGCTACAGTAATGACCTGATTTTGTCAGCCCCTTTTTTTGAAAAACTTTCCTAATGTTCTTCGAAAAAACCTACGTACTTTTTCAGTGGTTTTAGTGCACCAAAGTAAAGCTCAGCTGAAACGATTTATCTTTAAGACAATTAAATATGACATTTTAACCAGGTTGGCAAACAAAATCGAACTGGTTTCAGTTACAGATATAAATTCCCTCTAGAGTTTACAGTTGCTTCACAGCGATATAAATGTGGAAAAGCTCAGGCATCCACCTCTTAGTTCGCCTTTTTGTCCACCTCAAATATTCATAAGTATTACAAGCAATCAAGATTTAATGAACAATCAACAAAGTATCCTATTACACTAGCAATGCCGCAATCTGATGCTATCATAATTTTCAGCAATGTCAGGAATGCTCACGAACCTCAACATTTGCCCGAAAACTTTCTACTAACTCAAGGTATCTTCCAAATAAACTTCAAAATTGCATTTTTTTATCAAATGTTAAGTTCAGTCCTCTATATCCGTAATACACGTGCGAGGCTCAAACCTTTGTAAACTATTTTTTTTTTAATTAATCTTCTTTTAAATCAAATATTAAAAATCCATCATCACCATCGTGGCGAACAGAAATAGTTTTTGCAGTACTACAATAATTATTAAAAAGTCGTTATGACAGCTATCCATATAAAATAATCGGTTAGAGATAACTTCGTCAAGATACATAATTTGTCAATTCATAAAAAAAATCACTGGATAGCTGTTCAAAAGACAGTTTTAACGTGTGAAATGCAGTGTCTTTTAAATTCTGTAAGTGTTGCTGAACTTTTGATGTGTCTAGGCATCGAATTGAAAACATGTATTTTCTTTAAAATATAATTAATTTTGTGAAGCACAAGTCAAGAAATGTGGTGTTCTTATTTCAACCGCGTTTCTAGTCACTTCCTCTTTCAATTAGATCACACAAATATCGAGGCAGCAAACCGTTAACTACTTTAAACATGGACATCAAAGTCAAGTATACAATTCTTTGCTTCACCGACAACCATTGTAAGGCGTCTAGCATCAAAGTTGAGGAAGTGAATCTATTACATCTCAATAACAAACACATTATTATATTCTGCAAGCGCTGTAATCTCGATATTTATGTTTCATTGGCCAGAAATAAAATGGAAAGGCAAAAGTCTAGATGAAGAGAGATGATAGATTTTTTGTAGCTGTATTTTACTGGAAATTGTTGAATCGTTTTTAAGTCGACATAGAATTCCATACTTCTTGGCAATTTTCTTGATGGAACTGTCAATGTGAGAGTTGAACTTAAGTTTGTCATCATTAATCACGCCAAGATATTTAATCTCCCGAACGCGACCAATAGTCTCAGCATCAATTACAACAGAGACGTTCTCATTTACTCGATTCCGCGAAATTACCATAAATTTAGTTTTACTTGCATTCAATTTGAACTGCTTATACTTCAACCATCTACTTATAGAACGCAAATCTTCATTTAAGTGTAAATAGGCATCATCTTAATCCTGAACTGCAATGAATAACTCAGTATGATCTGCAAAAAGATGTAAAACACGTCGCAAGTAATTACTATACATAATAAATAACAGGGGCCCTAATACACTGCCCTGGGGCACTCCAACGGGACTGGAAACAAAATCATTAAAAACAGTCCGTTGAGTTCTGTCAGACAAATAGCTTTTAAAGCATTTCTATGAAGTACTCGTAATTCCAAAGCGCTTAATTGATCTTAACAATAAGGACATACAAATTGTTTCAAAAGCGCGTTTTAGATCAAAAAAACAGCAACAATCGTATCTTTACACTCCAATTATTTGTCCACTTCGCTAATACCAAATTCAACGCGGTTTCACAAGAATGACCTTCCCGATATCCCGATTTTTCTGGTATTTTTATTTAAAAACTCCAATATTACTATTTAAATACTCCAACAGCTAGTCTTTAACAACAAGTTCTAAAATTTTCGCTAAGTCTGTGAATTTACTTTAATTTTTTTGCACAGGCATTTTTTTTTTCGTTACACACATTTACAGACTTTTAAGTGTTTTCACAATTTTTTACAGACTTTTTTTTCCCTTGTAAACAAGGGAAAATTTAAAAATTGTTTGGTTACACTGTTTCACATCTTTAATCGTAAAATTATACGTGCGATGCATATTGCAACACGCATTATAAATTCGCGCGTTTTTACATCCACCACACGAACATCACTGTTATAGAGATTAGTGGCGTTTAACGTACGCACACTAGCGGATGCATCGCCTAGTAAAGTTGTTTATTATTTTCCTGCAGTTTTAGTGCTGAATAAGAATCGCAAAAATGTGGAAAAAAAGTGAAAAAAATCAAAAGGAATCCAAGAGGAATCCCCATAATGAGCTTTTTCAAAGGAACAGGATGAGGAAAATCAATATAAATACTTGCACTAATCATTGTATTGAGTTCCATGTGATTTGAGGTATCGCACGATGCATTTTGGCGCATATCAGAAGCTCTCCACTTCCCGTGAGACCCATCTGATTGAGGCCATTGTGATCACACATCTTGTGGAACTTGTTCCATTCAAATTGGTCAAGCCATCTCTGCGAAAATTGAGTGAGTTACACTCATATGAACTTGCATACATACATACATACATACATACATACATACATACATACATACATACATACATACATACATACATACATACATACATACATACATACATACATACATACATACATACATACATACATACATACAAACATACATACATACATACATACATATATACATATTTAAACACATACAGAAGGAGGGACTTTTCCCGAAGACCCACGACCCAATGACCTGGCCACCTACACCGTACGGCAAGGCAGAGGCTTACAACACCCAAGGTAGACAAGTCTCCAACGAGGAACTCGTAGCAGTGGCGAAAGGGCTGAAGACGAAAAAAAACTCCCGGTTCGAATGGAATCCCCAACGTGGCGTTGAAGGCGGCGATCCAGACGTTCCCGGACATGTTCAGGATATTGCTGCAGAAGTGTCTGGATGAAGGTCACTTCCCGGACCGATGAAAGATACAGAAGCTAGTGCGGCTGCCGAAGCCCGGAAAACCGCCGGGGGATCCAGCATCGTACAGGCCTATATGCTTGCTGGATACAGTCGGAAAACTATTGGAGAAGACCATCCTCAACAGGCTAACGAAATGCACGGAGAGTGAGCACGGATTCTCGGTGAGGCAGTTCGGGTTCCTGAAAGGGAGATCAACGGTGAATGCAATTCGGACAATGGTCGAGAGTACCGAGAAAGCGTCCAAACAGAAGCGGAGAGGAGATCGATATTGCGCCGTGATAACGATCGTCGTGAAAAACGCATTCAACAGCGCCAGCTGGGAGGCCATCGCCGAAGCACTGCATGGACTGAGGGTTCCTGTTTACCTGTGTCGCATTATAAGGAGTTACTTCCAGAACTGGGTCCTGGTCTACGTGACAGACATGGGAGAGAAATCAATCCGGATCACGATGGGTGTGCCACAAGGCTCCATCCTTAGCCCAACGCTCTGGAACGCTATGTACAACGGTGTGCTAACGCTGAAGCTGCCCAAAGGAGTCGAGATCGTAGGATTTGCGGACGACGTCGTCTTGACGGTAGTAGGCGAGACGTTGGAAGAGGTGGAAATGCTGGCAACCGAGGCGATCGACACGGTTTCGAACTGGATGCAAGGAGCGAAGCTGCAGATAGCCCACCACAAAGCGGAAGTGCTATCGGTCAGTAACTGTAAAGCTGTTCAGCGGGCTGAAATTACCGTCCTGGTTCTCCATCGCCATCTTCGTCGATGCTGAGGTACGGAGGTCCAGCCTGGGATGCAGCGCTGAAAACGAAGAAGAATCAAAGAAAATTGAACAGTACGTTCTGCCTCATGGCGATGCGAGTCGTGAGTGCGTACAGAACAATTACGTCGGAAGCAGTATGCGTTATCGCCGGTATGATACCCATCGTCATCACCTTGGTGGAAGACACCGAGTGCTATATGCGAAGAGATACCAGAGGAGTACGGACATTGGTGAGAACGGAGTCGATGGCTAAGTGGCAGCAAGAGTGGGGCGCAGCGGAGAACGGCAGATGGACACACAGGCTAATACCGATTCTTTCGACCTGGGTGAACAGGAAGCATGGAGAAGTCAACTTCCACTTGACGCGGACGAAACGCCGGAGCACATGGTTTTCGACTGCCCAAGATTTGAGGCAGTGCGAGTGGAAATGCCGGCCCTTAGTGCGGGAAATGTCGTCAGTGAAATGTGCCAGGATGAGAGGACGTGGAGCGTTGTCAGCAGGGCATTGACGCAAATACTGTCGGAGCTGCAGCAAAAATGGAGAGATGATCAGCGAGTTAGCAACGCCGGCTAGCTGAGCTAAAGAGAAGTGCTTGAGCACAGAACCCCCCCCCAGACGAAATACTCTTGGAGAGTTCCGGGGGGATAGTGGCTAGAGGCGAGTAAGGTTTTAGTGGTTAAGAGTCCCACACTGTGCCAGAACGAGAACACACACGCAACACAGTGACAGGCCGGGCTTTTGAAGCTTTTCTTATTATAAAAGAACACATACCGAAACATTTTCCGATCCCGTTGAGATGAGTCTATTGCTAAATGCCATTTGTCTTTCCGGGTCTTGGAACGAAATTGTGTTTTTCAAGTGATATCAAGCCTTTCAGTACAACTTGGTGTACGAGAAAGGCAAAAATGTTGGTATCATCAAATTGTATTAAATTTAGCCAAGTTTTTCTCCCTCAGGTGTGTAATTATTTTGAAAAATGTAATGAATATGTTGCTTGATATATCTTATTTTAAAACTGTATTTACAAATTCGTTACAACAGTGTTAATGTTTAGCGCCAGTTCATCATACTT